AAGTGTAGATCTAATATCATAATACAAGGAGGAAAAAAGCTGAAGGAAAATTTCACAATGAGTGATTTGGTTTTCACTTAAAGAACTAAAATAAATGAAGTAGGGTGCAGACCAAATTCAGCAATACATTAAGAGGATCATACACCATGATCAAGCAGGATTTATTTCAGGGATGCAAGAATGGTTCAACGTCCACAAAGTAGTCAATGTGATACACAACATTAATAAAATGAAGGATAAAAATCATGCAATCATCTAAACAGATGCAGAAAAAAAGTACTTAACAAAATTCAACATCCGTTTGATAAAAACTTTCAACAAAGTAGGGATAGAGGCAATGTACCTCAACATAACAAAGGCCATATATGACAAGTCCACAGCTAACATAATACTCAATGGTGAAAAGCTGAAAACTTTTCCTCTGAGATCAGGACTAAGACAAAGATGCCCACTCACTCTTGCTACAATATTCTGGAAGTCCTAACCAAAGCAATGAGGCAAGAAAAAGAAATAAAATGTATCCAAATTGGAAAGAAAGAGGTAAAACTTTCACTATTTGTACATACAATGATATTATATAGAAAACCCTAAGTATTTCATCAAAAAACTAGAACTAATAAATATAATAAAGTTGCAGGATACAGAGTTGGTGCACAAATATCTTCTGTAGTTAAAAACACTAATAATGAACTATCAGAAAGAGAAATTAAGAAAACAATTGCATTTACAATTGCATCAAAAAGAATAAAATACCTAGGAATTAATTTAACCAAGAAGGTGAAAGACCTATATGTTGAAAGCCACAAGACATTAATGAGAAAAATTAAAGAAAATATAAATAAATGGAAAGATAGTCCATGCTCAAGGACTGAAAGAATCAGTATTGTTAAAATACCATACTATCCAAAGTAATCTACAAATTCAATGCAATCACTATCAAAATTCCTATGGCATTTTTGTTCTAAAATTTGTGTGGAATCACAAAAGATTTAAAATAGCCAAAGCAATCTTGAGAAAGAAGAACAAAGCTGGAGGTATCATGCTCCCTGATTTCAAACTATATTCCAAGGCTGTAGTAATTAAAACAGTAATGACATTGTCATAAAAACAAACACATAAATCGATGAAACAAAATCGAGAGATAAGAAGTAAACCCATGCATATATGGGCAATTAATTTATGACAAACGAGCCAAGAATACACTATAGAGAAGGATAGTCTCTTCAATAAATAGTGTTGGAAAAACTGAACAGCCACATATAAAATAATATGACAACTATTTTACACCATACACAAAAATTAACTGAAAATGGATTAAAGACTTGAATGTAAGACCTGATACCATAAAACTCCTAGAAGAAAACATAGAAATAAGTCTCCTTGACACAGGTCTTGGAGATGATTATTTTAATCAGACATGAAAAGCAAAAGCAAGAAAAGCAAAAAGAAACAAGTGAAGGGCACCTGGGTGGCTCAATCGGTTAATCTTCTGACTCTTGGTTTCGGCTCAGGTCATCATTTCATAGTTTGTGAGTTCAAGCCCTGCATCTGGCTCTGTGTTGACAGTGCAGAGAGTGCTTAGGATTCTCTCTCTCTCACTCTCTCTCTCTCTAAAAATAAATAAACTTAAAAAAATAATAATGGGGCACATGGGTGGTTCAGTCAGTTAAGTGTCCAACTTCAGCTCAGGATCTCACGGTTTATGGGTCCCAGCCCTGCGTCGGTTCTGTGCTGACAGCTCAGAGCCTGGAGCCTGCTTCGGATTCTGCATCTCCCTCTCTTTCTGCCCCTCCTCCACTCGCACTCTGTCTCTCTCAAAAATAAACAAACATTTAAAAAATAATAATAATAAGGGCGCCTGGGTGGCTTAGTCGGTTAAGCGTCCAACTTTCGCTTAGGTCATGATCTTGCGGTTCGTGGGTTCGAGCCCCGCATCGGGCTCTGTGCTGACTGCCAGCTCAGAGCCTGGAGGCTATTTTGGAGTCTGTGTCTCCCTCTCTCTCTGACCCTCCCCTGCTCACGCTGTCTCTCTCTCTCCCCTAGAAATAAATAAAAATATTTAAAAATAATAATAATAATAATAAATAAGTAGGACTATAACAAACTAAAGAACTTCTGCACAGCAAAAGAAGCATCAAGAAAATGAAAAACCAACTTACTGAGTGGGAGAACAATTCATATAACCAATAGGGAGCTAATAATCAAAATTTACAAAGGATTCCTAGAACTCAATAGAAAAAAAACAAAAAAAACCACAAGCAATCCAATTTTTAAAAATGGGCAGAAGATATTTTTTCCAAAGAAGACCTACAGATAGCCAACAGGTACATGAAAAGGTGTTCAGTATCATTAATCATCAAGGAAATGCAATTTAAAACCATAATTAGATATCACCTCATACTTATCAGAATGGCTATTATCAAAAAGACAAGAAATAATAAACACTGGCAAGGATGTGAAGAAAAGGGAACTCTTGTGCACTGCTGGTGGGAATGTAAATTAGTATAGCCACTATGGAAAACAGTATGGAGGTTCCTTAAAAAATTTGCAACAACATGGATGGACCTTGAGGGCATTATGCTAACTGAAATAAATCAGACAATGACAGTATGATCTCACTTATATGTGGAATCTTAAAAAAACAAAAAAACTAAACCAAAAACACCAAGCTCATAGATGCAGGGAAAAGGCTGGTGGTTGCCAGAAGCAAGGGGAATGTATGAACCAGGTCAAAAGGTACAAACTTCCAGTTTTAAAATAAGGCATGGGGATGAAATGTATAGTATGGTGACTATAGTTAATAATACTGTGTTGTAGAGGGGCGCCTGGGTGGCTTAGTCGGTTAAGCGTCCGACTTTCGCTTAGGTCATGATCTCGCGGTTCGTGGGTTCGAGCCCCGCGTTGGGCTCTGTGCTGACTGCCAGCTCAGAGCCTGGAGCCTGCTTCAGATTCTGTGTCCCTCTCTCTGACCCTCCCCTGCTCACGCTGTCTCTCTCTCTCTCGCTCGCTCTCCTAGAAATAAATAAAACATTAAAATAATAATAATAATAATAATACTGTGTTGTACAATTGGAAGTTGTTGAGAGAGTAAATTTACTTACCATCACACACAAAAAATTTGTAACTACATATGATGATGTATGTTAACTAGACTTACTATAGTGATCATTCTGCAGAACATACATATAGTCAAATCATTGTGCTTTGCTTCTGAAACTGACAGTATGTGTCAATTATACTTCAATAAAAATAAATTTTAAAAAATAGAGCAAAGCTAGCACCAAGGGTGTGATTGGTCCAGGCAACAGGTAAATAAAAGAGCAAAAAGGCTGGGCCAACAGAGCAACTGTCTGAAGTGCAAATACAAGCAAAGCAAATGCTTCCACGTGTTTATGCCAGGTGGTATCTTGTTTGCCATTACTCACTACCATCTTCCTTCTAACAGGATGACATGCTCCTGTTATGTGACTTGACATTCCTCCTGCAGGAAGAGTGTACCTCCTCACCTCACTGGCTTTGGGCTTGGCCACTTAACATGTTTTGGTCATTGGAATGTAAGTACAAATAACATATGCCACAGCTGAGCAGAAGCTTTATGAAGAAGCTTCTTCCAAGGCTTTAGATCTTTCCCTTTGTCACAAGAATGGGAATGTCCCATATAGGTACTTCCCTTTAACCTGGGTCCCAGAATGTGAGGACACTTAGAAGGAAGCCACAGCTGACCACAGGCTACATGTCCTGTGACTGAGAAATACATATTTCGTTGTTGCAAGCCCATAAGATTCTGTTACAATAGCAAATTAGCTAATACAGAAAGCCAGACCTAGAAGTAGGGTGCTACTCTAGTCCTATCTTCAGCACCAGAGAGTGGGTGGCATGGAAACTAAACTGTTATTTGCAGCCAGAAAAAGGTGACCCATGTTACACAGGGGTCAAATACTTGGGAAAATTGTCACCTACAATTACTTGAACATCAGGTAATAAACATAATGAATTTATGACTTTGGATAAACAGAAACAAATGGTTCTGCAAATAAAATACACTGAAAGTGAGAGGTCTGCCCCCCCCAATTTTATAAATAGTGCCCCTTTCTGCACTCCTTCCTCTGCCTTCTTAGTGCCTGTCATCAGCTCTTGTGCCCTTATGCAACACCCCACCCCTTACAGTGGTGACCCAGTCACACCTGCCTCTACTACCATACTATTCTGTGCTTAAAATGAGTCTCCACTTTGTGGAGAACGAGGAATTCAAACTGAAGAACTGCCCAAAACTGTGATTTCAAACTCACAAGCTGATGGTAATGATCATTGAGTGAGAAAATATAGAGAAGGAAATTTAATTCTAAATTTTCCCCATGTTAATATTTTAGTAGAATATGACAATGAAGGAAAATAAGCAAATAACTCTCAAAATCATGCTGTATTATACACAACATCATGTGGGACACAAGGGCTCAATTTAAAAAATTACTCTTCTTGAAAACTAAATGGTATGTTGTTTTCCACAAGAATCACTGACTAGAGGTTTTCATCTGGCAAGCACTTTACTCGCTAGTATAAAAAATTTAAGAACAAAGCAACTAACAATATTCCCTGCTTTCTGAAGAGTTCCGTCTATTCCATCTGAAATACAAATAATTGCCAAGTTACTTTTTTCTTAAAGTTACTTAAAACAAAGTTATAGCTATAAATATAATACAGTTATAATAAAAAGCAAACACATAACCAAACATAGCTTAAGGGAAACTGAAGCTAATGTCTGCTACATTTACATTTAAATAATAGAGAAATAAGTATGTGGAAATTATCTCCATCATCAGTAGCAGTTGCCAGGCTTATAAAATATTTTGTGCACACAGAGATGACTGAAGCACAATTGATTTCAGTTCTCTTCCCTCTCCTCCTCATGCTGGCTTTATCTGTATCCCTAGTGAGCAGACAAAAGTCAGTTCTGACTCTGAAGGCCGTTTGATCAGTAGATTACCCGCAATCAAAAATTTCAACTTTTATTTTTAAATGTTAAACTTACTACAGTCTGATCAAAAAAGATCAAATATGACTTCTCTAAACATGCAATATCTGAAACTGGAAAATGTTGGCTTATAACTAATATTTTTAAGGTGCAAGAGCATTTCACAAAGATGCTGCCTGTTTCAAATATTGAATAAGATCTTCTCTCTCACTCTTCTTTTTAAGACCAACAAAGACCATTTTAGTTCCAGGAATATATTTCTTTGGGTTCTCCAAATATTCCATCAGAGTTTCCTCTCCCCAGATAATACCTACAAAGGCAAAAGTAAGTTTTAAGTTTGTGCAGTTACATTTGTAAGGCTTACTTTCCGATGTGACCCACATATCTGAACAGAAGATTATTCTTGGATTCAATAGGAAGACTATTACAATTGAGAATACAGTTTCTGATCTATAAGAAAATTCCAAAGTTAGTCTTTGGTGCTCTACTCTTCAGGTTCCCTATAGAAATCTAATACTTACATGCTGTTTAGCATGGCCCAAGGCACACAAATAAACTTTCAACCCCAGATATGTTGGACTAAGCAGTACCCTATCCTCCTAGAATCAGAGTTCCTTCTAGAAGAGATCTTAGAATTTAACCCAACCCTTTGTTTTGCCAATGAGTAAATTACCCAAAGACAGGAGAATAACTTGTCCTAAGATACAGACTCTTTAGAGTCAAGAATCTGACTGCTAACTCATATTTTCCTGTTTTTTCTTTCAATCATACCAATTTGCCTCTATCTGGATATCTATCAAAAATCTATGATTTCAGGGGCGCCTAGGTGGCTCAGTCGATTGGGCATCTGGCTTAGGGTCAGATCATGATCTCATGGTCTGTGAGTTCAAGCCCTACATTGGGCTCTGTGCCGACAGCTCAGAGCTTGGAGACTGCTTCTGATTCTGTGTCTCCCTCTCTCTCTGCTCCTCCCCCACACACTCTCTCTCAAAGTAAAATAAAAACATACATTTTTTTTTTAAAACCTATGATTTCAGGAATCCAGTTTTATCATGAGAAAGGCTGTCTCTTCTTTTTTTCCTTTCTAAAACTAGTCTAAAACAATATGAACAAAGAGGAACAGAAATACTAACTCCACTTTTGATAAAATTTATTAAACTTGATATAATTAGAAGACTACCAAAAATATAAAACCTGGATGGAGTAGGAGAACACCTGTCACTAATGTTCTCAAAAGAAGAGTTCTCCAAAGTAGGTGGCAAATCCTAAGGGGTAAGTCATAGTCCTCTGACTATGAAGCTGGCTGTGAAAATCTCCCTAAATTCAATTTGACACCACGAAGGCTCAGGGAAGCTAGGATTAAAGAAGAAAACAGACATACCCTGGGAAACTCTCTCCTTCTGTTCTGAAAGATAATCTTACTGGGTAAAATATTCTTGGTTGTAGTTTTTTTCTGCTCAGCATTTTGAATACATCATGCCAGTCCTTTCTGGCCTAAAAAGTTTCTGCTGAAACAAATCAGCTGATGGCCTTATGGGGTTTCCCTTATATGTAACTGTTTTCTTTTGCTGCTTTTAAAATTCTCTCTTTATCAAAACTTCCCATTTTAATTATTTTTTGTCTTGGTGTGGACCTCTTTGGGTTTTTCTTGTTAAGGGCTCTCTGTGCTTCTTGAATCTGCATGTCTGTTTCCTTTCACAGGTTAGGAAAGTTTTCAGCTATTATTTCTTCAAATAGTTTTCTGCCCCTTTCTCGCTCCTCCTTCTGCAGTCTCTATATTGTGAATGTGATTATGCTTGATGATGTTGCAAATGTCTTTTAACCCATTCTCATCTTTTATTATTCTTTTACCTTTTTGCTGTTTAGCTTAGTGGCTTTCCATTACCCTGTCTTCCACATGGCTGATAGTTCCTTTGCCTCCTCTAATCTGCTCTTGATTCCCTCTGGTGTATTTTTTTATTTCAATTGTTGAATTCTTCAGCTCTGATTATTTTATATTTTAAATATTTTTGTGGAAGATGAAGCTCCTGGAGTTAACCCCCACTGATTTTCAAAGCCAGATATTATGGGGATGTGTCTTCCAGTTCAAGTCCCCTGTGCTGGGGTGCATGGTGTGGAGTCTGGTCCTCTCACTTCTCTGTGTTTGTGATATCCTTCCCATTGTGTGCTGGGGGGTTAGTTCTCAATTGTGTTTCCACTCCTCTCATCCTTTTGATGTGGCCTTCTCTCTATGATTAGCTGTGTAACATCTGTTCTGCCAATCTTCACATTGTTTTCAGAGTTATCTGCATAGATGTAGCTGTTATCTCTGTTTATCCTTGGGATGAGGTGAGCTCAGGATCCTCCCACTCTGCCAGCTTCCTCAAAACTTCCTAAAACTCCTAAAAATTAAAATCTTTTTAAGATTCCACATATAATTGATATTACACAGTATTTTTTCCTCAAACTTATTTCAATCAGCATAATGCTGTCAAGGTTCATCTAAGCTTTTGCAAATGGCAGGATTTTTTTCTTTCTCATGGCTGAATATTCTAATGTATACATTTTCCACAATCTTCTTTTTCCATTCATCTGTTGATAAACACCTAGGTTGTTTCCATAGCTTGGCTATTGTGAATAATGCTGCAATGAACATGGGGTGCAGGTATCTCTGCCAGATCCTGCTTTCATTTCCTTGGATACATACCAAGAGATGAGATTACCAGATCTCATATATGTCTTCTTTGGGAAAATGTCTATTCAGTTCCTCCACCCATTTTTTATTTGGGTTGCTTGTTTTTTCACTATTGATTTGCATCAGTTCTTTATAGATTTTGAATATCAATCCTTTATCAGACATAAAATTTACAAATACTTTCTTCCATTACATAGGCTGTTCATTTTGTTGATTGTTTCTTTCACCTTGTAGAAGCTTTTTAGTTTGATGTAGTCCCACTTAATGACTGTTCTTCTTGTTGTTTGTACTTTTGGTGTCATATCCAGAAGATCATTACAAAGACCAATGTCAAGAAGATTTTTCCCTATGTCCTCTTCTAGGAGTTTTACAATTTTAAAACTTATATTAAGTTTTTTATCCATTTGAAGTTAATTTTTATTAGTAGTGTAATATAGGAAACCAATTTCATTCTGCTTCTTATTATTCTTACGTAAACAGTAAAACAAATAGCAATACTATATCTGCAAATAAGTCACAATTATTAGTTAACTGATCTGATTTGGGGAAATTTTATTTCTAATTCTTAAATAATGTTAAAGCCAAACCTTCTACATAGCTTTTCATCCTTGACAACAATCTATAATAAGAGATATATTTGTAATAGGTTTTAATTTTATTTCTAATCAATGCTAACAAGTAATAAAACCCTCAAAATATTGGCAGCTAAAGAAATAAATATTAGGTTATTTATAACTAGTTTACAAGTTAGGACTCAAATGTTGAGTGCTCTTATAATGTGGGTGATAATAAAATAATAAAATGAAGTCACTATAGAAAAATGTGACTTTAAAAATGAAAGAACCACATAATTCAAATAATAAATCCAACTTTCAGACTGATTTATCCAATAGTCTATCAATGAGAAATTCTATTGCAATAAATGCAATTCAACTCTGACACTAATTACCTGGAATTAAAACTGACTCTAGAGTCCACAGAAATTCTGCCCTCACTTCAGACACCAGCTGCAAGTTTGGGGTCCCAGGCTACCCCAAATTCTAACCAACTGGCTATCAACTAGAGGGTTCTCAGGATCCTCTCAAGTTTGATTAACTTGCTAGAACAATTTTCCAGAACTCAGAAAAACACTATACTTTTAATTACAGTTTTAATATAAAGAATACAAATCAGGACCAGCAAGATAAAGAGATCCATATGATGAAGTCTGGGAATGTTTCAAACACAGGACTTCTGGGTCCTGTCCCAAGGGAATCAAGACTCATCATTCTTCTAGTATTGTTGTGCTCACCAACCAGGAAGCTCAACCAGAGCTTCCAATTAAAGTATCCAGAGCTTTTATTGGGATTTTATTACATAGGAATACTTATTGAGGGGTCCTTGGGTGGCTCAGTCAGTTGAGTGTCCAACTCTTGATTTCATGATCTCATGGTTTGTGGGATCAACCTCCAGATCAAGCTCCACTCTGACAGTGCAGGGCCTACTTGGGATATTTTCTCTCTCTCTCTCTTTCTCTCTCTCCCTCTCCGTCTCCCATGCTCACTCTCTTTCCGTCTCTGTCTCTCTCTTAAAATAAATAAACATTAAAAAACAAAAAAAGAGTACCTATTGAATGATTAGCCATGTGACAGAACTCAATCTGCAGCAGCTATCCCCTACCCCTGGAGGTTGGACTGATCTCACCTAGCCCAAAGCTCCAACTCTCTAATTGAATAGCTGGTCTTTCAAGCTTGGCCACTCCCATCCAGTAACTATCTAAGAGACTACCATAAGTCATCTCATTAGCATAAACTCAGGTGTTGGTCCTAGGGCCCAAACTTGAATAAAAGAAACACTCCTATCACTTCGGAAATTCTAAGGTTTTATAGATTCCCATCTAGGTACCTGGGACAAAGACCAGACAAATTCTTTACTTAGAATACCTATTAACCAGCATTTTTGCACATACAAACACAGTAATATTGTGTTAATAACAATTACATTGATGTTTAAAAAGATACTAACACACCCTTGACCAAAGATTAACTTTTATTCTATTTTGTTTTAATATAAGTGTTTTATCAATTATCTAGGTATTTATTTTATATGTCTATATGGTCCTTTCTTATGGATATTCCCTGAGTAAAGATATTTTGAGGTCCTAACCCCTACTACCTCAGAATATGGATTTGTTTGGGAATAGGATCACTGCAGTTGTGATTAGTTAAGCTGAAATGAGGTCATACCGCAGTAGGATGGGCTCCCAATCTAGTATGATTGGTACCCTTATAAGACAGCCATGTGAAGACACACACGTGTAGACACACAGGGATCATGAAATGACAGATACTGGAGTTATGCAGCTGTAGGTCCAAAACACCAAATAACTGACATTCCAGAAACTAGAAAGAAGCAAGGAAGTATTGTTCTACAGGTTTCAGAGAGAGTATGGCCCTGCCAACACCTTGATTTTGTACTTCTAGCCTCCAGACCCGTGAGACCACAAATTTCTGCTATTTTAAGCCACCCAATTTATGTACTTTGTTACAGCACCCCTAAGAAACTAATACAGTCCTCAAATGTTTACCATACACCCCCCATCCCACTTGACCCTGGTTTGCTTGGAAACCCAAGAGAAGTCTGGAGACCAAAGGTTT